CGATTCCATGCACCCCCTGCTGCCAAAGGGAGAGGGAGGACAGGGAGTACTCCTGGGCTCTGTGTGGTGCTGCCCCTTTGAAATGCTGCCTTGGCGTTTCAAAGCAGCAGCGCTGCATGGAACTGCATTTCAAAGGGGGCAGCCCACGTGGAGCCCAGGGTCAGCTGGGGACTCTATTGGTTTGTGCCCACAAAAACTCATGATACCATCTACATGTTTTGTTAATCTTTAAGGTGCTACTAGACTATTTGTTGTTTTTTAAGTTTTTCCTAGTAAATCAATAGATATTTAACATCCTTAATTTAAATCCTTTGTGGACTTAGGCAATCTTTGTCTTGAGGATTCCTGACCTGGATCAGAAGCAGGTCTGAGGGACTTCTCCACTAGAATTATCTTGAGACTTGGGTCTCTGTTCTTTCATGACATAGCCTTAAGCTTACTACAGTGGATATATTTTGGAGGGAGGATGGACTTCCCCAAACAATGAACACATTGATAATGGCTATCAGAGATAAGGGTGGCCTCTCTACAAATAACGAGTAGTCCTGTGGCACCTTGGAAACTGACAACAATATATATACTTGTTAGTCTCTAAGCTGCCACAGGACTACTCCTTTTTAAAGTTACAGACTAACATGGCTACCCCTCACAGATTTCTCTGCAAGTAGTACATCTCTTAAAACCTGGAGAGTCAGGCATAATATAAATTGCTTACCTAATGGACAGAAAAAGCGGGAAAAGAAAAACCTTTAAAAAGAGATAGAAATGTAGCCGTGTTAGTCTGGTCTAGCTAAAACAAAAAACAGGAATATGTAGCAATTTAAAGACTAATAAGATGGTTTATTAGGTGATAAGCTTTCGTGGGCCAGACCCACTTCCTCAGATCAAAAAGTGGAAGAAAATTGGCATGACCATACATACAAAAGGATACAATCAAAAAAATTAACACATATGAAAAGGACAAATCAAATTTCAGAACAGAGGGGGGATGAAAGGGGGAGGTAAATGTCTGTGAGCTAATGATATTAGAGGTGATAATTGGGAAAGCTATCTTTGTAATGGGTAAGGTAATTAGTGTCTTTGTTAAGACCTAGGAGTAAAGTGTCAAAGTTAAGCATGAATGACAGTTCAGAGGATTCTCTTTCAAGTCTGGTGTTAAACTGTCTTTGAAGCAGGATGCAGGTAATCAAGTCGTTGAGACAATGCCCTTTCTGGTGAAATGGCAAGAAACAGTTTTTTCTTTGTGATCCTGTCTAATATCTGTTTTGTGGGCATTAATCCTTTGGACAAATGTCTGAGACGTTTGTCCAATGTACATAGCAGATGGACACTTTCGGCACGATAGCATAAATTATATTTCTGCATGAGCAGGAATATGTGTTCTTAATCTTATAACTCAATTGGTTAGGTCCAATAATGGTATCAGCAGAGTGAATATGTGGACAAAGCTGGCAACGGGGTTTGCGCAACCCAGCATGACACCTCTCCCACAGATAACAGGAACATACAGAGGAGCATAAGCACATAGCCAAAGGGGTATCATCATGGCTGCAGCAGGAGCAGGAGCAGGAGCAGGAGCAGGAGCAGGAGCAGGAGCAGGAGCAGGAGCAGGAGCGCTGTCAGGACATCACCGATGATGCCTGACTACTACACTGGTGACTGACTGCTGGTCTTCAGAAGGACATCAAATAGCATATACCTGACACAAAGTCTACCATCTACCAAATTTCAAGTCCCTGCTCCAACGTGAGTAAGTACTGACACTTCTCAAAGAAAAGGTTACCAATTTTTTTTTTAATGTAGGAAAAATAACATTTTCCCTAGCCAGAAATGGCTAAATAGTTTTCATGAAATTAAAAAAAAATTAACCTGAATGGTTAAAGTTTGGCAAATATGTAAGCAACTGAAAACAATCTTACATTGAAAAGTGGCAAGCAACTTTAATAAAAGGCAGTGCTACCACCTATGGCAATATTGCATTTAAAATACATTTTGAATTTTGACTAAATAAAGGACACATATTAATGCTCCAAGACTCAGGAATGAGACTCAGGGATGTATGGCTTGCTATAAAAGCTCCACAACAAATCTTCCCTAGTACATTTGCAGCACATCTACAATTCCAGGTATCAGTTGTGCAGATTTATATGCAAGCTATACTTTAGCAACTGTGAGTAATCCCACTGACTTCCTTGCAGGATCAGCACCCAAGTCTCTATTCTTTCTACTTTTTATTTAATACTAGTTTAAAAATACTGCCCAGACCAAACTGTGTTATAGTTTAGTCATAAAACTTATATTACATTTTATTTAAGGGTGTGTCTACACAGCATTCTTAGCTCAAAATAAGATATGCAATTTGCACTAAAAACATAAGAACATAAGAATGGCCGTACTGGGTCAGACTAAAGGTCCATCTAGCCCAGTAGCCTGTCTGCCAACAGTGGCCAGCATCAGGTGCCCCAGAAGGGGTGTACCGAAGACAATGATCAAGCGATTTGTCTCCTGCCATCCTTCTACAGCCTCTGAAAAACAGAGGCCAGGGACACCATTTCTATCCCCTGGCTAATAGCCTTACATGGACCTAATCTCCATGAAATTATCTAGCTTCTCTTTAAACTTTGTTATGGTCCTAGCCTTCACAGCCTCCTCTGGCAAGGAGTTCCACAGACTGACTCTGCGCTGTGTGAAGAAGAACTTTCTTTTCTTAGTTTTAAACCTGCTACCCATTAATTTCATTTGGTCTCCTCTAGTTCTTCTATTATGGGAACTAATAAATAACTTTTCTTTATTCACCCTGTCCGCATCACTCATGATTTTATATACTTCTATCATATCCCCTCTTAGTCTCCTCTTTTCTAAACTGAAAAGTCCCAGTCGCTTTAACCTCTCTTCATATGGGACCCGTTCCAAACCCCTAATCATTTTAGTTGCCCTTTTCTGAACCCTTTCTAAGGCCAAAATATCTTTTTTGAGGTGAGGAGACCACATCTGTACACAGTATACAAGATGTGGGCGTACCATAGTTTTATACAGGGGCAGTAAGATATTCTGTGTCTTATTTTCTATCCCTTTCTTAATAATTCCTAACATCCTATTTGCCTTTTTGACTGCTGCTGCACACACTGTGTGGATGTTTTCAGAGAATTATCCATGATAACTCCAAGATCTCTTTCCTGATTTGTTGTAGCCAAATTAGCTCCCATCATACTGTACATATAGTTGGGGTTATTTTTTCCAACGTGCATTACTTTACACTTGTCAACATTAAAATTCATTTGCCATTTTCTTGCCCAATCACTTAGTTTGGTGAGATCTTTTTGAAGTTCTTCACAGTCTGCTTCTGTCTTGACTATCTTAAACAGTTTAGTATCATCCGCAAACTTTACTACCTCACTGCTTACCTCTTTGTCCAGATCATTTATGAAGAAGTTAAACAGGATTGATCCCAGGACCGACCCTTGGGGGACACCACTAGTTACCCCTCTCCGTTCTGAAAATTTACCATTTATTCCTACCCTTTGTTTCCTGTCTTTTAACCAGTTCTCAATCCATGAAAGGACCTTCCCTCTTATCCCATGGCCATGTAATTTACACAAGAGCCTTTGGTGAGGGACCTTGTCAAAGGCTTTCTGAAAATCTAAGTATACTATATCTACTGGATCCCCCTTGTCCGCATGTTTGTTAACCCCTTCAAAGAACTCTAATAGATTAGTAAGACAGGATTTGCCTTTACAGAAACAATGTTGACTTTTGTCCAACAAATTATGTTCTTCTACATGCCTCACAATTTTATTATTTACTATTGTTTTGACTAATTTGCCTGGTACTGAAGTTAGACTTACCGGTTTGTAATTGCCAGGATCGCCTCTAGAGCCCTTTTTAAATATTGGTGTTACGTTAGCTACCTTCCAGTCATTAGGTACGGAAGCCGATTTAAAGGATAGGTTACAAACCACAGATAATAGTTCAGCAATTTCCCGTTTGAGTTCTTTCAGAACCCTGGGGTGAATGCCATCTGGTCCCAGTGATTTGTTAATATTAAGTTTTTCTATTTGTTCCAAAACCTCCTCTAATGACACTTCAATCCAGGACAGCTCCTCAGATTCATCACCCACAAATAGCTATGCAAATTGCGTATATTATTTTGATTCTTTTTCGAAATAAGTTATTTTGAAATTTGGTGCATCTACATAGCGCCAAGTTTCAAAATAAAACACTATTTTGAGACATCCCTTATCTCTCATGCAACAAGGTTTACAGGGATGCCAAAATAGCATGTCTGCTATATTTACCAATAGTGGACACATTCAAAAGACGCGGCGTAGCTATATTGGGATACCTCTGGTATCCTGAAATAGCACTGCAGTGTAGACGTACCCTTACTAGGAAAATATCACTGAAGCTTGATATGCACTGTATCTTTACTATGTATTTTAGAAATGTGAATCTGTCTGTCTATCTCTCTGTGAGACCATTTGTTCAAGAACTGCTCCTAAACAATAAACCTAGGACCACCAAATTTGGTATGCTGCTTCCTCTTATGATTCAAAGGAAAGTTAGAATAATGAGGTATGTGAGGAATTTGATTGTTCCTCATAGAATGGAAAGGGAGGGGGTCTGACAGCAGGCAAGCAAGAGGTCAGAGATGGGGACCAGGATAGCTATAACTCTATTGGGCCAGCTGAGGGCAGAGTTGGAGAAAGGGACTTCTAACTACTATTTATTTCAGAGTATGTGTCTGTCTGTTCCCCATCCAGGGGACATGCACCCTGTACCCACTGGAGCTTCAGTAGCCGTGCAAAGGTGCTTCTCACCTGGCCCCAAACAACTGCAGTGAGACAGGGCTGGGGTTGTCCTTTCTCTCTAGGGCAACATGCATACTGAACCCCAGCCTCACCCTAGAACAATGATTTCAATAAAAACAACAACAAAACTTATTTGAGTTAGGGACCTGAACGATGCAAGGTAAATCTTCTACTATTTCATATTAATGATACCTGTAAAACTTTAGCATTTGGTTGAAGAGGTTTAATAATCAGCTGCTTTCCTGATGTATAGAGAATCTTTTCTGAATCGGGGCCCCATGCTACTGAGTAAACTGGTGTTCCTGTAGAAAGATAAAAGAAATTGTATCTTACAAAGATATTTGAAAAAAACTTGCAGAAATTATTAAAGGCATTTGAAATGATTAATAAAATAAAATGTTGCTCTAGCATTTAGAATTTGGAGTTTTGAGAGACAAAACTGAGCTGTTTTAATACTGCTAACAGAAATAATTTCAAGTGAATTACTTAACACCTTATTGATATTGAAGAACAGCTGTGGTGCTAAACAGCACAATTTAACAAAGCAAATCTACCTGCTCTTCTTAGTGATTCTACTGGGTAGCTACAGGAGTAAAGATTAATCCAACAGGTTAACTCTTACAAGTCTTTAAAGATGAAAGCAGGGACTGTATAAAAGACTGACATTTCTCAAATTTTTCTTTCCAGCCAGCAGCTTGTCTCATCCCTGTGCTCCCATCAATTGTGCAAATTACAGCCATGGGGAAAGGTTACATGTGACTGCTATCAGGTTGGTGCCAGAGAGAGAAAACTGTTCCCCCAGCTAAGAGGAGTGGGAGCAAGCATATCATCCTCTGTCCCCTACACTAACTTAACTACTGCTCTCGCCACATTTTGAGTCTTCCACTACTAGCACACCTCCTGACAGTTGTCCTGCCCAGGATTTGAGTAAAGAAAACCGCTGAAGAGACCTGCACTCTGGTCAAATGGGCTCTCATTATTGGCAGCAGTGGGGTGTCAGCGAGGCCATAGCAGCTGTGGGTGCATGAGGTGTTCCAGTTTGAAATTTTCTGGGGGGAGATCAGCTGGCCCCTCATACGCTCTGCCATATTGACAAACAGGTAGATTTCCAGAATGGCTTAGTCCAATATAGGTAAAAGGCCAGAGCTGTATCCCATGCAATATGTGAAGGCATCTCTGGAGCTTGGGACACAAGACTATCAGGAAGATGTCGTGGCCCATGGGGAAAGTGTCCACCATCTTAGGAAGAAAGGCTGTACCTTGTCCTAATAGAAGAAAGTGTACAGTGGCCATTCTGTCATAGAAGAAGACTATGTGAACCTAGACTGGGGGGACGAAAGATGTAAATAGCCACCTGGAGTACCCTGAACAAGAAGTGCTCTAGGTTCTGGTTCTTCAGGTGAAGCAGATAATTCAGGACCGATTGGATTGGAGCATCCAACAAGGAGATGCCACAATCAGCTATCCAATGTGAAAAATATGTCAGGTATTTTGTCAGGTAATTCTGACTGGTCAAAGGTTTCCTGCTCTTGAGGAGGACCTAGCAGATGACCTCTGAATATGTTTGTTACTTGGGATTCAGCCATGCAGTATCTACACTGAGATGGAAAAACATGAGTTTGGGGTTCAGGAGGTGACCGTGGTCCTAAGATGGTTGGTCCAGCAGTGGCCACAGAGAGAGCCCCTCCAGACTCTACAGAGTACAATATACCAATGTTGCCAGGGCCAAAGTGGTTGGTCATAATGACCGCAGCCTTGTTCCTCTGGATTGTCTGTAGGACACTGTTGATTAACAGGATTGGGGTAAATGCATATAGTATATCTGAACATGACAAAAGGGAGGTGTTGGATAGGCAGCATGGGCCCAAGCATGTCTGGAATAGAACTAAGGGCATCAGTGATTATGTCTGGTTACAGACAGATCCACTTGGGAAGCACCCCATTTTTGTGAACATGGCACATGGACAGCAGGAACATGATGGTTACAGACAGATCCACTTGGGAAGCATCCCATTTTTGTGAACATGGCACACAATGACTGCACCTGGGATCTGGAGCTTCCTTTGACCAGTCAGTTGTTCAGATATGGGAAGATATGGACACCTTGATGCCAGAGGTAAATCACCAATAACAACAAGCATTTGGTGAAAGCCCTGGGAGTTGTCGATAGGGCAAATGGAAGGAGCACAGACTGATAGCGCTGTTTACCTATCATAAAGTGAAGGAAGTGCCTGTGGCTCTTGAAGATGGAAATATGGAAGTACATGTCCTGAATATCAAGGAAAGTATTCTAGTCTCTGGGATCCAGAGAGGGGAAGCCTGCCATTTCCCGGTCTGACTCCCAGCAGTCGCATGCCAGGGAGTAGTCTCTGGACTCTTCCCTTGACAGAGTCTGGTGCTGTTGGAATTGGGACCCAGTAACACTAATTGCAGGCTTATCCCCTAGAGTGGGGAGTTATGGAGGCCTGGGTGGCTGTCACCAGGAGAGTCATTTTCTCTTGTGCAGTTCACAGGCACACCAGTATGGAGAGCACCTCCTGTGGCTCAGGAGTCCGCCTATGTCCAGAAAGGCAGGCGGGGAACAAGTTGGGGTTCTCCATTCTACCTGAGCTGGACTGAGAGCTGCCCGATGTGGGTCAATACCTGCCTATAGATTTATCCTGCTGTTTTCAGGATGAGGTTACAGCTGTCTACTTCAGCTTCTTTGCAAGAGTCAGAGAGGGGAAGCACTGCTGGATGGGGGCCAATACTGCAGGGGCACTGAGCACCAAGGCAGATCAATATACCAGTGCCAGAGTGTGGGCTGACTCCGTAAGGAGGGCACAAAGTCAAATGTCCTGCCTGCTCCTTTTAGATCCTTGGTTTAGAGGAATTGCAAATTTTGCATCTGTTGCTGATGTGAGCTTCAGACAGTGTAAACAACAGACAGTGTAAGCAAGCACGTACAACCACTACGGAATGGACATGAGCAAGCACTTGAAAAAGAACCATCAAGATTGGAACAAGGCTAACCAGAGAAATATCCTAATTGTATTATTATATCCCATGCCCTCCCTTCTGAAGCCTCATAATTTGTCAGTACTTGTCATATATTTAAAAATCAGACTGTAAATCATAATGGGTAAGGACTTAATTAGTCCATAAAGTATGATGTATAAAAATGTGATTAAAAAACAGTAACAGTTCAATTTTCACAACCATTTAACTGTTGGCCTTTGATAAGACTGCTTTCAAGGGTGCCATTTAAAGCTAAAAGTAGCATGGACACTTAAATACTTGAAATTGAATTAAGATCAATAATTCATTCCGCATAAGCCAACGTACAGCAGTCACATGACAACTACTTTCATCTACTACTAATCTGGTGGAGTGAACCACAGACCTATTCATGAAAAGCTCTGTATTCCATTATTACTAATATCCTGGTGCACCTGCATTGATCTTTATCAAATGTTTAAACATATTTCGAGGCTGCAATCAGCTACAGTGCATTTAACTAAAACTCAGTTTTACCAAACAGAAAAATGAAAGAATGCCACATTTGCTTTTGAAAGCTGAATTGGTAAATGGACTAATTATTTCACCACTGATTCCCCCTCCCCCCTGAAGTTTGAAGGAAGGTCCATTATTCTACTTCTTCATGTTTCTGACCCAGAATCTGAGAGATTCACTTTTACTTCAGGATTGTACCTGAATTTTTATTTACATCTAAGTATCAAATTATCAAATAAAATAAGACAATGTGAGCAAAACAAGATAGCATGATTGTTAAAATGTAACTTAACTGTTCATACTAGCACTCCCACCTTTTTTCCATGAGTAACAGTGCAAAACTGTGAAAGTGAAGAAAGAAGGGTGAAATTTTCAAAAGAATTTTAGGCATTGAGTGACTTAGAGCCTGAAGTTGCTTTTGAAAATTTTACCCATAATATCTGGAGGGTTCTTTTATATCGTAGCATTAAGCAGCCTTCAGATTTTTTTCTTCTCTACAAAAAATGCTTTTACCCCTGCATTTCCCTGCTCCATTTCTGCTGCTCTTCCTCAGTGTTTGAATAGAAATGCTGTCCAATAAATCCTTCTGCTGCAAGTCTGATAGTAAAGCGGTGGAGTAGTATCAGAAAGACCCATAACTTAGAGAAATGTACCTAAAATGACATTTTTATGTTTAGTGAATAGGAAAGAAATGGAGAGGCAAAGAAAGTCCCTGCTTCCCTTCCCGCCTACCTGGGCCACTAGTGGGCCTCTTAACACTCCAAGAGTAGGGGTATGGACTGGTGTCCTAGTCCCTGGAAAGAAAAGTGTGGAACCCACCATACCAGCATTGGCCAATTTGCCACAAGTGAAACTGCCAAAGGATCAAAGAATGAAAAAAAGATGATCAAGGATATGGAACAGCTTTTGTACAAGGAGAGAGTAAAAATACTGTGGCTGTCAGCTCAGAAAAGAAACAACTAAGGGGAGAGGATATGATAAAGGTCTATACAGCCAGAAATAGCATAGGGGAAAGTCCTATTTATCCTTTCACACAATACAAAATCCAGGGGTTCCCTGGATAAAATTAATAGGCAGTAGGGTTTAAAACAAGTACTGTAGTACTACTTTTTCACACAATACACAATTAACATATGGAACTCATTGTCATGGAATGTTGTGGTGGACACATGTATACTAGGTTGAAGAAAGAAATAGATAATCTCATAAATATAGGGTCATCAATGACTATTAGCCAAGACTGTCAGAGAGGTAACTTCATACTCAGGAGAATCTTAAACCTCTGGCTTCCAGAAGCCAGGAGGGGAAGACAAGAATGGGATCACTCCAAATGTCCCGTTGTATACACTCTCCCTTAAGCACTTGTACTGGCCATTTTTAGTGTCAGGATGCTGGACTAGGTAGATATTATATCAGTTATGATAAACTGAATGATCAAATTTAACACAATGAACATACTATAATTACTTACTGAATGTTTTAATTAGTTTAAGCTAACAAGTGCCCAATCAAGTCTGTGCGAACAGAGTCAGGTTTTAATCAATTTACAATATTCTACTGGGACCTGATTCTGTAAATCGGAATCCATGGCTTGCTGGATCTAGCCCTAGATCAAACACAAACTGAAAGCAGGAGTAAAAGAAAGATTGAGTGTCATTCACTGGCACCCAATTCTACTCTCAGACACACATGTAGCTCTCAACAAAGTCAATGGAAGTAGAACATGCATATCTCAGAATTTGGCTCTTGCTTTGCAAGCTTTGTAACCCTGAATATATTTGACTTGAAAACATACAAACATGAAAAAGTG